CTCAAGTGATGGAGAGTTTCTAGGGTTTAAATTAGCGTATTTAGAAAAGCGATCAGGTAAGCCACACTGGGACGGTCTATTGCAGCCTCCGACGGCCTCAGTATAGTCGCGGGTGAGTGTCTAGAGTTGCGGCTGGTCACCCTACCCTTGCACCTCGCGAAATACACCCATACGACCAAGCGTTTCAAATAGCCTCTGCTGAGGGAGCCCTACTCACTGCATTCTCGTAGCGGAGGTGTTTTACCACTTAAGTGAGAGGAGGAAAAGCCAACATCAGGGGCTATAACCGGGTTGGTGAACTATTGGTAATTCACTTAGGGGAGTTGGCTAAAAACCCTGATTCCAAAACAACCAAGAAGAGGCGTACAAACCACACTCACCCACACCCTCCTCGGTGTGGCAGCGGTCACCGGCTCGATTGGGCACCTTGGACGTTTGACCCCGTCCAAAGAGCGTGTAATTCGATGAACTGGACACCGGCCCCCAATGGATTGCGGTTTTCACACACCGCCCCGCTGCTTGCGAGTCAGGCTTTCGATAGTCGAAGGCTCCGGTTGTGGATTCCTCAAGAAAATTCACCTGCTTTGGCCTGGGTAACCTGGCAGTATTCAGCCCAAATGCAAATCATGGCACGTTTTTCTTTTTGATAAAAATTTAAGCATCATGATTTGTTTGGCACACACTGTCGTTAGACAAGTGTGAAATATATAATAATAATATTCCGTTCCACGGGAGGATAAGTCGGCCTCGTGGAGGAATCTACGGGGAAAACTCGGGGAACAAGCTACAAAGTAGCATGCGTAGTACGATCCGGCATGTTTGTTTGAGGGTGCATCACTAGTCTTTACACAACACAAAATGCTACACAAGAGTGATGGCCACTGTTTACGATTTTAAATTTAAGTATCATGATTTGTCTGGATTCAGGCATGTGTGAAAATATATGTGGCACATCTGTCAGTTCTCTGTAATTGGTTACGTGTTGGAATAATAATAATCCGTGATTTACGCCTATTTGTGGATCCTGAGGTTGCGCTTCTGGTCTCACTGGGCGTGGCGTAAGTCTCATTGAGAGAGAGAGAGTGCTGAAAGCATACTTCTAGATGGGATCCCAGTCAATAGTCGGTTGTGCGCTGTGAGTCTAAAAGGTTCGTGAAAATCAAGCAGTCATTGTCACGATGGGCGTAACTTATTTGTCCCCTCAAACTGATTCAATAAAAGACACCTTTTGCCAAAGGCTATACCACCTCTTGCATGAAGCGAGTCAGGCTAATATCGTGATTTTAACCTGGTGATATAAATGCTAAAATAGGTTGCATGTTTTGGAACGCGGTGCATTTATAAAGTTCCTTTGGGTTGG